TCATACCATTGTACTCATAGCCATGAGAATTTCCTTTCAATTTCTGGAACACATCATAGGCTTTGTACATACTGTTCCTCCTTAACTAGCTCCATTCATGGCTATCTCCTTTTCATCTTGTGGGTTCAGCTTAATGCCACTTCCTTAGTAAGTCCTTCCTGAGTCATTCTCTCTAAATAGTGTCCTTTTCCTCACCAATTCCACCACTCTTCTTTATCTCAGCACCCTGTCTGCTTTTATAAATAATCCTTCCCGTTTCATAATTACTTGTTTAATTGCTATTTTTCTGTCTTCCTTATGATACTATAAGCTCAATGACGGCAGAGACGATATCCATTTCCTTTATCACTACACAACCAATACCTAGGACAATCCTGTAGCTAGTTGAATAAATAAACTTGTTGAATAAATGAATACCACAGATAAAGATGGATAATGTGATGAAAATGACTGATTCTTTTTTTTTTTTAAAGATTTTATTTATTTGTTTGACAGAGAGAGACACAGCGAGAGAGGGAACACAAGCAGGGGGAGTGGCAGAGGGAGAAGAAGGCTTCCCGCCAAGCACGGAGCCTGATGAGGGGCTCTATCCCAGGACCCCGGGATCATGACCTGAGCCAAAGGCAGACGCTTAACGACTGAGCCACCCATGCACCCAAAAATGACTGATTCTTATGCAGTCTTGCATCATAGAAAATTTTAGGACTATAGCATTAAAGTTTTATTCAAGATTTCAAGCATTTGTCAAAATGGATGGAAAGCACTATTTTTGAGGGAGAGTCTTAGGTATATAGTCCATTTTCTACTCCAGTGCCTCTCAAGTTATCTATGGTGAATTCCCAATCTATGAGACTTCTATAAAATGCAATAAAACTGAATTATCAAAAACATGAAATAAAAACAAAAACAAAATATAAGCCCAATTGTTTTTATTAACTTTAACATTATTCTGTTAAGTTTCTACAATATTTTTTTTTTTTTTAAGAGAGGAAGGGAGAGAGGGGAAGGGGAGATGAAGAGAGAGAATCTTAAGCAGGCTCCATGCCCAGTGTGGAGTCCGATCCTGGGCTCTACCTCCTGACCCTGAGATCATGACCCTGAGATCCTGACCTGAGCCAAAATCAAGAGTCAGCCACTTAACCAGCTGAGCCACCCAGGTGCCCCTCTATAGAACTTTTTAATCAGTTGTCAATGTCTATGCTAATCTCATTAAAGATCATTAACAAAGTTTGAGACCAACGTTGGTTTGAGAACTGCACTTTTGAGTAGTGTTGTTTTACACCAACTTGAATGAATGACTGAGGTCATTGGGATTGATTTATGCACTGTATCTCAAAGCTGTCTATCCTCTGTTATAGAAAGAAGAGTTGAAAAGTATTAAAAATAAAACAAAGCTAAGAAATAAGTTATAAAATTTATAAAACAGTTGAAGAATTTAGAAGTAAAATAGAAAATTATTAGAAATTAAAGTTCCAATATTGTAGAAATTAAACAGAAAACTAAGTCTCTGTGGTCATGAATGTAAATTTCAGGGTGGGAAAATACCTTCCTCAGAAACCTTGACTGGAGTTTGAAGGAGGTGAGAGTGGGAGAAAAGTCAAATATTACCCTTGGGATGTTCCACAGGAAACAATTGGTTGTTATTTCTATTACTAATTTGGATTAATACAGCCTTTTTATCAAAGTGATAGGCACATTATTTCTACCACAATTAGTTTCTCCTAACTCTTCTCATTTTCCTGCCCTAAAATATTCTGCCTTAATATTTTGTCCCTCATCCATTCCCACATCCTTATTCTTCTCATTACCTGTCTCCCCTCCCACTCCACCACTGGCATAGTGCGATGCTATGACTAGACCTAAGTAAAAAGGGAGGAATAACAGTAGCAAAAGCTAGGATATAGGGAATTTAATTCCCACCTTGAGCATTTAGGGAGAGGAGAATGTTCATGGGAGATATGCTATTATTTGCCTTCCTTTGACTTACCACGTTACCAAGTTTTTCCCCATGTATGATGCCTTACAGCATCGGTATATGAGAAATTCATTACTTATGCCACTTCAGGAAATGTTATTTGAAATTTGAACACAGGAGTAGACTTTTATAGTACCTTTATAGTATACTTTTATATACTTATACAAATGTATACTTTTATAGTGTATAGAAAGCAACAGAAATACTTTTAAATCCTTCATCTAAGGGAAATCCAACATCCTTCATACTCCAAAGGAATTTAGTCATCTTTCTGAAGATGAAGGAAGAGAGATTTGGCATGTCTATGCTTATATGTGGCTGTTGGTATGTCCAAAGGCAGGTGAATACCTTACAGTGAATTTCTTCACAATATATGGCATACCATCCAATCTCAAAGGCAAGTTCAAATCTGGCCTAATTCAATTCCAGCCCTATTTCAGAGCTGAAGATTTAATCTATACCTTTTTGAGCCATACAAGTTCCTAGCAAAATAAATCATCCTTTATTTTGGAAGCAGTCTATAACACTTGTTTACCTCGGTCTCCTCATCTAGCCAACACACACTTGAATTTCTAGATTAAATTGGCCTCTCAAGATTCTTCCAGCTGGGAAAGACTTGCAGTTCAATTGAATTTCTTGTCAGAACTCTGGACCTGAAATTCTAGCATTTGAGTGGCTATAAGACTGGGTTTCAGGTATGGGGATTGAGCGATGTTAGCTAAAGATGTTTGACACATAATTGTCTAATGCTCTGGCAGACCAGAGTTCCTTTCACATTTCCTTTCCCTTTCTTCTCCTTCCTTCCTAAACTCAGCTTGTACAGCTTGCGCTGTTAGAGAGATGTTGGATTTGTAGATTAAGAGAAAGTGATTCTAGAAATAGGAAAGAAAGAGGGGCAGTAGGGTTACCTGCAGCTACCTCTGTCTTCTTTTTAAGCTTTGGAATTCCAGTGGGAATTAGTCACATACTCTCATGTCTTATGAGGTTAAATTATTTTTGAATTTTTAAAAATACACAGAGGATGGGGGATTTTAGGAACAAAATAGGTAACTACTGTTACTGGATATTAATAACTTCTCCCATGGAGTTAAACCCTTTATAAGAATAGTGAGGACTTCAACTTGTTGCTCCCTTTTCATACTACAGAAAAATGATTTCCTTCTTCTCTTACATTCTTTTACTGGCAAATTTTGGTGGTAAATAAGGAACACATTTTCAAGTTTTAGTCCTACTACTGGTTATTCCAGTTATTCCACTTGCTATGGTTTCACAATTCAAGAAATATGGAAGTGATGCAGAGAAAAGACAACAGTGACGCCTGATCCAGGGTATAATCGACATCAAATTCCTGAATGAACTCAATACACTCTTCCATTCCAGAAACATTAGTGGCAACTCCTAGTGCAAGTAGAGAATGGAAAGAGGGTTTATATCTATTCCTCTAACCAGCTCATAAAGTCCAGAGAATTACATAATATGAGATCATTTAGACACCTTGAAGACCAACTTGGGACTTTTCTTAACTGTTGCACAATAGCAGTCAAATTCTAAGCACCACAACTTGAGAACTGGAAATCTTGGAGAGAGTTTAAAGAGTCATAGTAATTACTAAACCTTGACAAGTTGTAGAAATGGGCAGATAATTACAGGATGAACTTAATAGACAGAAATATAGAGTAATTTAGAGAAGAGAAAAATAAAACACTATAAATACAAGGGAGAAGGCTTGGCTTTGTGGGAAAAATGTGGGATTCAGTAAACCACCAGTAAAACACGAGTTAGCCATACGGTACAGTTGCTTTATTATTTTTTATTAATAAAATTAAAATATTTGTAGAGTACATGCAAGAATTATTGTATCTAAGAAAAAGGCGGTAATCCCCTAGTCATCTATACAATTATTTAGTAACCACCTATCACATGCTAGACACTTTGAGTGCTGGCATAAAATGGAGAACACATAGGATCCCTACCTTCACGGAGCTCGCTAAAGTGTGGTAAATGAGAAAGCGAGTACCTTTAATACTGTCTTTAGTTTGTATTCTGTAGCCAACTTCAAGTACAGCAAATACTGTGAGTTCCTTGAGGTAGGGGTCCTATTTTGACATTTGGGATCCCATTCCGTGCCTAGCACAGCATCTTGTAAACAATCAACTTGGATTAAGGGGTAAAAATAAGCCCCCCAAAAACTAAAATTTGAAAAAATAAACGCTTGTCTGACCATCAAATCTCTTTGGCACGTAATGTTTGCGAACCTATTACGTGCAGAACAGTTCTCAACACAATGCTTTGTGTATAAAAGGGATGGTAGCAATGGACTCAAATTGCACACCGTGGTAATTGCCATGGACATCCTCCTGACCGGGTTGACAGCCCATCCTCCGCGAGTTTTTTCCCTTCTTTTCTCTTTTAGTCGAAAGACAAAACCCTTAAGCTGTAGCTACAGGGGTGGGACGCGGAGCTTAGACTGGGGGCGCAGACACCAGCTCGCGCGCACCGAGGTCGCTAGGGCAGCTCCGTGGGAGCGGCGGAGCGGCTCACACCCCCGGCTTCCCGGCGCCCGGAGTCTCCGTGCGGACGAGGCGTCCCCCCAGAGGAAAGACAGGGCGCCGCAGACGCCCCTCGGAGTCACCGGCCACCCGCCCCGCCTCAGGCTCCTGTCCCTCTTGGGTTCCCATTGATCTGGCGGGTGTGCGTTCCAGAGAGGCCAGTGGGGCGCGATTAGAAAACCAAGCGCTCCACGTCCCCGACCGCATCTAGTCACCCACCCACTCCACCCCACAGCCCAGCAGGCCAAGCAGGCCGGACGCCGAGGCCTCGCGGTAACGAGCCTCCGTCCGCCCCGCCTCCTCGCCCTCCAGCCGGCCCCGCCCTCGCACTCACCCCTCCCCCGCTCCCGCCTCACTTCCCCGGCAAGCTCCTCGCGCTCCCGGCCCGGCACGCGCGCTGCGCCCGGCCGCCGCTGCCGCCGCCGCCGCCGCCGCCGCCGCCGCCGCCGCCGCCGCCGCGCCGCCGCGGCGGAGCGTTTCTCCGCGGTGCCTGGCTTCCAGCTTCGGGCCGGAACCGGAAGTCTGGGGGGCGGGGCCGGCGGAGGCCAGGGGACCGAAAACGCGGCCGAGCCCGGAGCCCGGAGCCGGAGCCAGAGCCTGGACCAGAACTTGGCCGCCGCTCGCACCGCTGCCGCCGCCGCCGCCCGCTGCTCCTTCCCTGCGCCACAGCTGCCTCGGCCGGCACGGCCCCGAGCTCAGCCGCCACTGGTCCGTGGACTTTGGGTGTCCGGGTTGAAGGTCGGTCCGGACGTCGGACCCAGCTCGGTTCCCGGACTGTCCGGGCGGCAGCGGACGCCACCGCCGCCGCCTCCTCGTCGCCTCAGCCTGGCGTTTTGTTCCGAGAGACCCGAGAGGCGAGCGGAGCTGACAGTGATTTTGACAGTGATTTAAACCCGCTTTTGTTGTTGTTGGCTTTTCGTTGTTTGGTTTTGTGTGTTGTGCGTGTGTGTGGCGGTTTTTCCCCCGTGGTGCCTTTTTTTTTTTTTTTTTAATTGTTGTGCTCTCTTTCCGCCCCCCCCCCCCTTTTTTTTCTTTTTCTTAACCCCGTGAACGTTTTTTTGGTCGGGGCTTCCGAATATGTTTTATGACGGTTGATTTTACACCAGGAGGTTTGTCTCCGAGGAAGACCCAGGGAACTGGATATCTAGCGAGAACTTCCTACGGATTCCCCGGCGCCTCGGGAAAATGGGAGCTGCTGCAAAGTTGGCGTTTGCCGTCTTTCTTATCTCTTGTTCTTCAGGTAGGTGCATGGAGAGCGGCGCGGCGGGGCTGCTGCTTGCCGCTGCTGCAGCCGCCGCTGCTGCTGGCGGCCGCGGTTGTTGTTGGGTCGGCGAGCTCCAGTGGAGCCGGGGGACGTTTTCCCCGACCCGGAGCCCCTCGGCCGCGACCCCCCAGGTCTGATTGTGATCTGGAAATCTCCATGAATTTTTCTCGTTTTGAGTTAGGTTGGCGAACTGATAAGAGTGACTGCTCGGTTGTGGAAGGGAGAAAGTCATGGTTTGTGGATGACAGCGCTGGTCGGGTTGCAGTTAAGCCACAAATACCACAAGTGACAATCTGTACAAAGGTTTGAGACCCGAAAGGCGTTTTCCAAAATGTCATTTAGTGTAGCATTCTCCAAAATTAGGGTGTTTTATTTTAATCGTCTTTTAATTAGTGCTTCACCAGTGACTATCACGACAGAGACCTAGCCAGTTATTACTTAATTTTGACCGTGAGAAACAATGCATCATATAAGCAATTTCATCTGGGTCTCCCCTTACGTTTTCTTCAACTTTACTGTCCAGCAGTGTTAAAAATAGTTGTAGTTGTTGTTGTTGGAGTATTAACAATAACCCAGTGCAGAAGAGGTATGCCGCTGTGTGTTTGTAATGTGCTGGCTTTCAACCACCATTTATGTGCTCTTTTCTGGCATAGATTTTGCTTACCTACGGAATACTTATTTTAAACGCGTTGTATTGAAGCATTGTTTTTGGTTTAGAGCAGCCATTTGAGATTGTTCATACTGTCAAATACATTATAGTCATAAAATAGGTTTTGGCCCAACGTTGGAAGAATAATTTGGTCCTTTTATATTGGAAATTTTGATTTTTGTGAGAACGTTCTATGCTTGCAACCAGTGGTTGGAAAACTGTCTAGTCTTTTGTATTTGAAATTCTGTAAATGAATACAACCTAGCTCAAAGGTGTGCAAAGGTACATAACAGGAGAGTTAGTATGATAGATGAAACAATTTTAAAGTCGCAATGGGTCTGTTTATCATAAAATTAAATATTCAATTACTAGGTTGAGAGAGAGAATTATGGGGGGGGGGGGAACGAATTGACAGGTTTCATGGCCATGTCTTTATCTTGTTTGCTACAGGGAAATTAGAGGGTGTTAGTCTTTTCTTTGTGTACCTCTGTGGTGTATGTGTGTGTGTGTGTGTCCATCCTCCCAACCCCCTCTTTTAATAGAATCTTTTGTAATGTATAGAATTTTGCTGAATGGTACATTTCCTTGTGGTTAATAAATGGATAAAGTCTAGTCTTATGTCTGTGGTGGTATTGATCAGTTCCGGGTGGGCTAAATGTGTTGTGAAATGGCGATCATTGCCAGAGATTAACCAAAGAATCATGTCTGTTTAAATGGAAGAAGGAACATGCTTAAGGCATGCTGACAGTTCTTTTTGTGCACGGTTTGGGGAGGAAGATAAACAATGGTGTCTGTGAAATGAATGAATACCTTGATAACATTAAACCTCTTGCTTTTGTGACATGACTTAACTGTGTAGTTTTTATTTTTCCGGTAGTACTCTCTCTCCTGTGTTCCTGTATGTTCTGGTTGGTGAACTCCTCTTTTCATATCCCTTTCTCTGATCTCCTGCCCTTGAGGAGGAGGGGCATCATGGCTACTGACCAAGGAATTGTGGACATTATTCCCTCCCAAACCCACCTGAGTCACACTAATTGGTGAAGGAGGTTATTCTTGAGCAGTCTCAAGGTATTACTTCTGGAAAAGCAGGCTGTCGCTACAGATCTTACAGCTTCCTCTGCTTGGTTTAGAAGTAAAGAGAATCGAGCATTAGTTTTTTGTAGGATTATTTTCCGTGGGCCGGGAGATTAATGGCTAAAATTTTGAAATACAGTAATTTTCTTGCTATAGAGCATATACATATGTAGCACGCAGAATTACATAAAACTGATAATAAATATTGTTGCATAGTTTTTTTTTCAAATCCTAGTTGAACTAAAATATAATTCTATTGAAGATAATTGAAATCATCTTAAAGACTTTAATCCATATTTATGTATGAAGATTTTTAGTACTTAAAGTATCTGATTTTTTAAAAGGCTTTTGTTATGAATCAAATGCACTCTAAAAGATTATTATATTTCTTTTCCTAATTGATTTTTCTATGTAATATGTAATCTGGCATGCTGGAAGCATGAGCATGGCTATTTTTATGAGAATTTAAAAATTTCTCAAGTTGTCAGTTTTTGTTCCTGGATATTTGATTTCTTTTTTTTTAAGCGAATGAAAAATGGTAGTAAAGAGCTGTTGTATTTCAGGTTTTTAGGATGGATGTTTACTGTTTTCTTTAGTATTTTGCAGACTTTGATTTTTCAGTTTCCATCCCATGGTATGTATACTGGAGACTCTTTTTGCAGACTATTCCTGTAGGATATGGCCAAGTATGTAATTTCTTAATGTAATTCCAGGGGAAACATTTTTGAGTTTTGCCCTCATCCTCAAATGCCTACAGATTTCTTTTGTATTTGAATTTTTTCATTCTTCTTATCCTTCCTCAAATTTTGTTTCAAAACACAAATGTATTTCTTAGATTATTTTTGTTTGTTTTTAAAGCACTGTGGCTAATTTGTATCTTTCTTCACCATTTGTTAAACTGTGAGTTTGATACTTGCTCTAGTACTTAGGTTTATCCTACCTAGAATGATGCAGCTATTGTGGTATTTGAGTTGCACTGAATAAGTTGAGAATTTGTTTGGATTTCTGTGGGAACTGGAGCAGTTTGGTCCATATATTTGATGAAATAAGAAATGGAAATAAAGTAATTATGTGCATTTCCTTTACTTCAGCTAGGCAATAGTGGTGTGTGTGTGTGTGTGTGCGTGTGCGTGTGCGTGTTCATGTGCTCCTGTGTATGTTTCTGTTATTGAGTATATGTGCGGTTGGAGGGAGAATTGGCAGTGCAGTGAATCTTCTGGGACTCGGTTGAACTTTGGCTAATAAGTGATAGTTATTAAATGCTTTGTTTTCTACAGGCAGAATTTCTTAAATGTAGTCCGGAGCAAATTCAAATACAATATATTGGAACATCAAACTTCTCCCCCACCAATTCTTGTTGAATTTTTTTCTGTTTATAAGAAAAAAGTCTTTTGCTCCCTGCCCCTGCACCTCTCCCCCCAGGAATTTCTTAAATGTAGTCCGTGAGCAATTTCAAATACAATATATTGGAACATCAAACTTCTCCCCCACCAATTCTTGTTGAATTTTTTTCTATTTATAAGAAAAAAGTCTTTTGCTCCTTGCCCTGCACCTCTCCCCCAGGGAACATTTTTGGTTTTCACAACTCTGGAGGACGGTATGGCTGCTGCTAATCATCCCGTAATGCACAGGACAGCCTTACACAGTAAAGAGTTATCTGGCTCAAAAGGTCAATAGTGTTGAGGTTGAGAGGCCTTATTTTAAACTCTTCATTTTTAAAAGTATTAGTATATTAGTAAAAAGGTCCTGCTTCCCACTCCCACAGTCAGTCATCCAAATTTTACAAGGATATGCTATTGATCTTCAGGTGACTTTGTATTGAGAGCTTTCATCTTTTCATTATCTTTTAAAATTCGAATGATTATATTAGAAAAACAGACTGTAGGTGTACACGTTATTTCATCTTATTGTACTTTAATAAAAATGTTTTGCTGAGTTATGAATAAACTCTCCAAACCCATTGCTTTGCTATGATGGAGAGCCCATGAAGACTGTATATTCCTGAATAGGATGAATAATTGGTCAAAGTATCAGGTTTAATTATATTTGCTTTTGATCCAGTAGTCTCTTTGCTATGATAATCATCTTTAAGGACATTTCCCTTTATCCTTATTAAAATCATTGTCTGGACTGTGTGGTGGCAGCAGGGTTGTGTGTGTGAGAGAGAGAAAAGGGAGAGACAGATTAACGTGGTGCAGGAAAGTTTTCTAAGTTTCATGTGGAAGAACTATGTGCACTCTTACATGTCCCTGAAAGGTTTCAAAGTATAAAATCAGGTTTTTTAAAAGGATATTATTTCTTTTTCTTTTCTTTTAGATAATTTTTAATTTGAAGAAAGTTTTAAAGTGATTTCCTAATTACATAATTTTCTGGAGAATCATTGGCTGGTTTTTGGTTATCATTAGACTCGTTTAGGCTATACTAATTAATACTCTGTGATCTATCACAGACCCTTGTCCTTTTTAAGGTTAAAATTTGACCATAATTAATAAGTGCTTACCTTGTTTTGAACTCTGGTTTTAAGGAAGTGAACTCAGCCAGGATAAGAATTAAAGTGAAAAAGTGTAAGTAGCATTACACCATTGAAAGGAAAAATTCTGAAATCACTCCCACAGAAAGTATGCAAATCAGCCTCATACTGTCTTTGTAACACACCTCTCCATACATACACATCTCTGGTACTACTGACATCTTCACCTTTTGGGTTCTACTGTTTCATGAGAAATAAAGCATAACTAAACCAAATGAGATTTTAATAATCTCTAAAGTTCTTTAGATTCTAAAACTATTTTGTTGCTCTTTTACTTTTGTTAAGTAGTGTACTCTTATTTCTCATCTTCTGTGTCTCAAAAATCTGTGGTTATATTTGTCTTTTCATGCTCTCTTATGTTGCCACTTAACCTGCATGACCTGCATGGTTCCTCTTAGATAGTAAGTTAGGTAAGGTTAGCAGTGAATGATACTAGAGTCACTAGTACTCTTTCACTTTTTATTCCATATTCTATAACTTATAATTTCTTCCATTGCCTTTAATTATGTTTCCCTTTCCACTTTATGCCTTCTTTGTTTATTCTTTTTTCCTTTTGTACTTCCCTGTATTGTAGCTTGCTTGTGGAACCCACTTGTTGCTTAGCATCAGAGGTAGCTCAAGAGGGCTCACACATGGTTTAAATGAAAACAGATTCAATTTAGAACGTTTGAGAATTGACCAGATAGTCTTTTCCATTGTTCTTTCATTTGTTGGTTTCTGGAA